AAACCATAAAACCCAGGAATTTTCCAGATTCCACACCGAAGATGCACTTGGCTGGGTTTAACCTCATTCTATTCTGTTTGAGATTGTTGAATGTCTCCTCAAGATCGGTTAAGTGATTGTCAACTTTCAAGCTCTTTACCACTATATCATCAACATAAACTTCCAGATTCCGTCCTATCTGAGCTCGGAATACGATGGTAACCATCTTCTGGTAAGTGGCACTTGCGTTCTTCAAGCCGAAAGGCATCATTACGTAGCAATAGATCTCATCGTCGACATAGAACGAGGTTTTTTCTTCATCCTCAGGAGCCATTGGGACCTAGTGGTAGCCTGAGTATGCATCCAAGAGACTTAATCTCTCATTCCCCGAAGCTGCCTCAACCAGCTTATTAATGTTTGGCATTGGATAACAATCCTTTGGACATGCATCGTTGAGGTTAGTGTAATCGATGCACATCCGCCATTTACCGTTTGCTTTCTTCACCAACACCGGATTGGCGACCCACTCACAGTAATCTCCTGACAAAGCCGGCTTGTAGGAGCTTCTCGACTTCCTCTTTAATAACCTTTAACCTCTCCCCCCCGAAGAGACGTCGCTTCTGGGCTACTGGTTTCTTGAGGGGATTGGTGCTGAGTTTATGTTGAAAAACTGAAGTGGGGATTCCCGGCATATCTGCTGAAGTCCATGCAAAAACATCGTTATTGGCTCGAAGAAAAGCTATTAGCTTTGCTCTTTCTTTCGGGTTCAATTTAGTCCCAATTTGCGTTTTCCTACTCGGATCTCTGTCATCAATCTGTACCTCCTCCACATCTTCGACTGGAGCAGCTCTGGTTTCATCTTCTGGTCGGTTATCTACTATTTCAACACCCATAACTTGCCGATCATCAGGTATCTGTTTAGGATTAATCTCGGGTGTCTGAGCCTTGCTCTTCTGAGGTTGTGTCACCGAGGTGATATAACAATGTCGGGCTACCTCCTGGTTGCCTCGCAGTGTTGCTATTCCCGTAGGAGTTGGGAACTTCATGCATAGATGAGACTGGGAAACCACGGCTCGGATCTCAGTCAGTGTAGGTCGGCCAATGACAGCGTTGAAAGAGGACGCCATCTTGACCACTAAAAACCTTACTAAAGGGGTCACATAACTGCGGCCACTTCCAAAGGCAACATTCATGGTGAGGACTCCTTCAACTGGAACTGGTTGGTTGTTGAACTCGTAGATGGGACCATCATACCGCTGCAACAGAGCTGGATCTATCCCAAGACTCTCAAAACAATGGAAGTACATGATGTCTGGTGCACTCCCGGTGTCAACAAGGACACGCTGCACCTCACAATTGTTGATTTTGTGACAGAAGTGACGAGAGGATCATTGTGAGGTGTGACAATTGTTTCAAGATCAGCAGACGTGAAAGTGATGGGTTGATTCTTCCACTCAGCATCGTCAAATTTTCGTTTCTGAGCTCGGTTCTGATGCCTAACCTCTCTGACATACAGCTTCCGCTGCTTAGAGCTCAGTCCACCAGCTTCCAGACCTCCCGTAATCATGTGTATGACTCTAGCTGGTGGTGGGAGTGGGGGTGGGGCTTGCTGATATCCCACACCTTGTTTGTTTGGGGGATTGCGGATTGCTTGATGCTGTGGCCCTTGTTCTCTGACAAACCTTGGCTGTTCCACTCTCTGGATATACTCATTCAACAGTCCTTTCTGTGCCAGACTTTCCAGTTCGGACCTCAGACTATTACATTGCTCTGTTGTATGACCGTGATCCTGGTGAAAATCACAGTATCTAGTATGGTCTCTGGTAGCAGCAGCAGTTTTCATTGAACCCGGACGTCGTAAGTCCATTTTATTCTTAATCTGCATAAAAATTTGTGACCTCGGCAAATTAAAAGGAGTCCAATTAACTGGAGGTTTACTTGTAGGTTGTTGCGGAGGTGCTGAGTTCGGCCTTCCGAATCTCGGGGTGGAAGTCGACATCGGACCTCGGTTCTGTGTTGTCTTCATCCGTTTCCTGTTCGGATTCTCATCTCTCCAGTCTGGGTGTTGGCTCTTAATAGGAGTTAGGTGTTGCGACAGGGCGTATTCCTCAGCCGTTATGAATTTCAACGATCTATCGTTTACCTCACTGAAGGTGGTGGCGGGATGTTCAAGCAGACTGTCTCTGAATCTTTCATGGCCGAGACCCGAGATCACAGCTGTAATGCCCACTGCTTGGTCGAAAGAGTTAACCTCTAGCACTGCATCATTGAATCTGCTCATAAAATTCTTCAAAGACTCTCCGTCCCTCTACCTAACCCGCATCAGCTCAGAAGTAGTTTTCCTGATCAACCTTCTACTGGAAAACTTTGTGGCAAAAGCAGATGCCAGTTCTATGTATGAGTTGATTGATCTCGGAGGCAGACTGTAGTACCAGGTTCGAGCATTACCTCGGAGAGTAGAGGGAAAGATTTTGCACATCAACGCGTCAGAGGCATTCTGGGCCTGCATGCAAGAGTAAAAAGCATGTAGATGATCATCGGGGTCCTTCGTCCCATCATAAGTTTCAAGCTGTGGTATTCGGAAGCCAGCAGGGTAGGGTTCCAGTATAATATTGGTGTTGAGAGGGTGAGGTACGGAGTCAGCAACAGGGTGTGGAGGTGGGATGCCTCGTTGTTCGACCACTAGCTTTTCTAAGCTATCTAAACGTCGAGTGACATCATCACGAGGGGGTTGCATAACTGGTGCGATGTGAGATTGGCCCTGAGATTCACTAACAGGGGGAGCATGTTGAACTGGGTCAGGATCTTGTGGTGGGGCTGGAGGCTGCGGAGCAGGATTAAGTAGGTTGATGAGTGGATCACCAGGATTGTTCCGGGCTAATAACTAGGCCAGCACTAACTGAAAAACACCAAACTGCTGCTACATGGCAGCGAGCTGAGTTGCGACTACGTCTTGGTTAGCAGTAGAGGCTGAGTTGCTAACCGAATTGTGTGGTTGATTTTCGTCTTCTCCTTCTGCATGGTCCACAGGAGGGACCGTATTTGGGATTGGGGGTGGGGGATGAGGCGAATTGTGTGGTTGATTTTCGTCTTCTCCTTCTGCATGGTCCACAGGAGGGACCGTATTTGGGATTGGGGGTGGGGGATGAGGCGGAAGGTTGCTGGGAACCTAACCTCGTCCAAGAGGCTGAGACGAGTTTCCACCTCGGGCTGACCTAGTTTTCACCATGATAAGAGCAACAAAAGAGCCTTTAGTTCAGTTTCCCATAGATGGTGCCAAAAATGTAACTGCACCAAACCGGAAGTCCTTCTTCAGTCCGAATCTGCACTCTAGATTGACCTGCAAAGCCCCGAGGTGGATCCTCGGGGTAGACACTCCAATGCTTAAGTCAGCAATAATCGGGGTTACCTTTGAAGCGGAAAAACAAGGAGCTTAGGGTTGGTTTCAATTACCTTTTGGTGTGGCCCTTAAGAGGTATTTATATGTTCCGATGCGGAATCCACGCGGCATGCCAATCAAGATGCCAAGCAAGATATCCGGGATCCGATGTGTATC